GGGGGGGTAAAAATGATGCTAATTTTAGCTGATAAGACACGCATTATAGCTTAGTAAAGTGAGCCAAATGCTTTGTTAACAATTGTTGCATTGTATCTCTTGTTGCTTGGATGTATTTCCTATGATCCTCAGCGCCATCTAGTGGCCATAATGTTGTATTTCCCGATTCACTACTCCCCATTTTTTTGCCCCATTTTCACAACAGCTGGTTAATTTGCGCAGAACAAATGGAAATATAGTTTTGCCGGAGTTTATCACTGCTATCCTTTTTTTTTTTTTTATAATAATTTTATTTTGTTCCGTTTTATTTCGTTTTGGTTATTTGTATATTATCTCCTTATTTTGCAGTTTGTTCCACTTTATAGATTGCAGCTGTGTAATTGTATGACGACATTTAGAGTATTTTACATATTCAGCTTACTCTTATTTCTCTTTCTTTCAGCAATCGAGACTCAGAGCACCAGTTCGGAGGAGATTGTCCCCAGCCCCCCTTCACCACCTCCCCTCCCCAGGATCTATAAACCCTGTTTTGTATGTCAGGACAAGAGCTCTGGTTACCACTATGGGGTCAGTGCCTGTGAAGGCTGTAAGGTAAGTCTCTCGTAGCTGCATGTGGATAGAACAGAAGAGTACTGTCTGTAGAAAGCAGGTGCCCAGCAGTATTTATAAGCTGTATGTATAAAAGTGGATCTCTGTCCCTATACTGGCTGCTTTCCCCATGTTATAATAAAGGAGATTGTTTAGATCATGTGATTTGCTTATTGCAGTCTTGTAGGCTAAAAGCAAAGCAAATAAAGTTGCCAGGGGAACTATCATATCCCGTAAACTGAAAAAATTGTTCTGGTCAAGGAAGAAGAAAACTTGATTTAGTTTAAAGAGAAGAAAGGGGACAAGGAAGACGGGACAAAGTGCTACATGCACTTTGCCACCTGGGGGACAGAAGCAACAAAGGAAATGTGTAGGGAGACTTCTTTAAAGCATATCTATACCAATAAACTAACATGAAATATATTGCAGCAGACCAGTGCTACATTGCAGCAGACCAGTGCTTAGATGAGGTTGCTGCATTAATTTTGTTTTTTTGAGGTGTTTCTCACTTTATTTTCACTTGGTAATTTTGCCATTAACATGCTTCCTGTTATCAGTGACTACGCTTTCTCATGCACTGTATCTATGGAGGCAACCACAGTTGTTAATAGGGATGCACCAAAAGCAAATAAAAAAAATTGTCGGGCCGAGACCTAAAATTACTTTTTTTTTCCAACCTTTTTAAAAAATGTTTCCATTTATTTATTTTGTAGTTTACTGTTAGGGCGTTGGGGAAATATCAGGGGTCTAATCAGACCCCTGATATTTCCCTTTTAAAATAAAAAAAGAGGTCACACACAGAGTCCTCAATCTCTTTTTTTCTGCAGCCCCAGCAATCAACGAACAGGAAGCTCTCAGTACAGAGGTTTCCTGTTTATTCACAGACTGGAGATAGGTAATATTTACTATCAACCCAGTCATGAATGGACAGGAAGCCTCTGCACTGAGCTGCTTCCCGTTCATTCATAAAGTGAGCAGATAGTAAATATTTACTATGTATAGCACTTCCTGTTTATAAATAACTGAGGACATAGTATACTTACTATGTCCCCAGTTATGAATTAACACTCAGTGATCAGTACTTACCGTTGATTTTCTTTGCTCTGCTCTCCATCCTGACTGCTCTGCCTGTCACAGGAACTAAATTCCCCTCCCACACCGCCCCTTTCAGCCTCCTGACAGCTGTCTCCTCCCCGCACTGCCTTGCTTAGCCTCCTGACAGGTTCTCTTGCGTGGATCGGCTGTGTGTCCCCTCCGATCCGCGCTGCCTCTGCCGACACAGGCAGGGGAGAGCAGCGGGGATCGGAGGTACTCAGACCAAAGCTTGTAGCCGGCGCCCAGCGGGGTTGTTGTTACCAAGGCTGGACCTTAAATATACAGTATCTGCCTGTTGTAAAGCTCCATTACATGGGAGACAGGATGATTAGTAGTTTACAGAAGGAAGATTTGAACAAGGACACTGTCTTTCTGGGAAGATCAACAGGCATTTTCTCTACTTGCTGATAATGTTCTTAGTCTGAAAAAGAAGTGCAGCCAACCTCATCTAAGAACTAATAATCTGCCATATATTCCATTTGTGTTCTTTAGTTATCTTATGACTTGAAAATGTCTGCTTCTAGTAAGGAGCTCTCTTGCTGCTACTCTTGTTTTAGCATTGCTGCCGCCTCCAAATGTCTTTAGTCTTTGACACTTAAGGGAGTGTCAAATGCCCATGTCCCCTGCTGTGCATCGTGGCTCCTTCTTCTGACCCCCAACGTCACTGTTGAGTCTTCTAGTGATGTAGGAAGGAACCATGATGGGCATCAAACACTCCTGCAATTGTCAAATGTTGAATACAATAATGAAGGCTTTAGTTCTGGAGGGAAGGTGGGACATACGGGCTGCTGGAGAGGTCAGTATATTACTACTTCTCTTCCAGTCAACTGTTTTTATTTCTTTAGAGACCTGAGAAAGTCTATTTCAATTGAAATCTTTATGTATGACAGACATTATGGAAGGCTTCATTGATCAGTTGAGTTGCTCTTTTGATTTCAAATGAAGTGCATGAATGTATTTGGCCGGCATAGGGCTTACTTTCCCATTCATCTGGATTCAAACAATACTCCCGTAGTGTACACTGGCTGAAAGCCCTCACTTCTCATGCATAGGTTTTATCATCTGCCTGATATGAATGCAACTTGTGTAAATGATACCCTGTGGTCATTGCTTGTGGCATCTTTCCCTGCAGGGTTTCTTCCGGCGCAGCATACAGAAAAACATGGTGTACACATGTCACCGGGACAAGAACTGCATTATAAACAAGGTGACGAGGAACCGGTGCCAGTACTGCCGGTTACAGAAATGCTTTGAGGTTGGCATGTCCAAAGAATGTAAGTGCCTCGTATATTAATTTTATTGACTTGTCTCTATAGATCTGTCTTTGGTTTTTAAATTTTGAGTATTGGGATATTTTATTCATATTTAAACAAAAAAATTAGCAATATTTTTTAAAGCTGAACTAAACTTTCTACTCTGTTACCTGTTGAGGATGGTGCCAACCTAAACTGGTTATACACTGCGATGGAATGAGAAAAACTCTTAAATTCCCCCTACTAGGCAATTTAGCTGCCAGGGTATTTGGAACAGCTCCTTCGGGAGCCGTTCCTTGTCGAATGGAGGGTGCGATCTAGGCCACGTACTGGAGATTTGACCAGTATATGGCCAGCTTTAGCCATGGTGCTGCACACATGAGCAGCTAGGACACCGGCAAGTTGAGTGCTTGAATGATCGGTTGAGAGCTGATAAGAACATTGGCAACTGTGACAGTTATCCCCAGAGGCATGCCTTGAATGTAGCATATACTGCACATGTGCTGGTAGGCAGAATGTGAATGAAAACGCTGTGTAAAACAACATTGCTATGTTTGATTTCAGCTTTAATAACAAGTATTGCATTAAACATACCTAAGTTGAGCTTTTTTTTGAGGAACCGTTAAATCGTTGGCTTTAGTTGCGCTTTAAGAGTCAACTGATCCATAACTGTTATTTTAGTTTTTAATAGATGCCAGCGGGTTTATAGCTCATTAGCTTCTCAGCTCTCTTGGGAACTTGGAAGCGCTGATAGACATTAGAGGATGGTGTCGTGATCTGGCCATATTTGGTTGGTTTGAGCACAAACTCCTGTTTGTGGGACAGCTGCAGGCGTTTCGATACAACAGGTTTCAGGGGAGAAAGCAACTGGACAGATTAGAAAATTACCAGCTGGTATTGTTGGCCTCCATAGACTGGGGATCCGTGGCCCCCTTGTCAACCCCGAAAGGTTCATGTTTTTTGCTGAAGTGATGCCAAGACGTCACGAGTGTCCACCTTTGGCATGGAGATCTTTGCACTGGACTTCTTGGCACCACCCACCTGCCTTGGCCATTGTGAGTGGGATTCTGTCCTTGTTCGGATTTTGTTTTATATATTTGAGTATTTATTTTATAGGTTTTCAGTGTATTTTTCTACGGTGGAGCCAGGAATTTACCTGCCATGTCTTACCTTTACAGGAGAACTATGAGGTGAGTGATTTTCAAGCCAACGTGTGACAATGAAACTGTCACAGGTCGGCTCAATAGATCGGGATGTGAGTGAACACATACGGTCGCTCGCTCACTTCTCGATCATCTCCCTGCAGAAAGCCGCGACTGTCACTCACGGCTCCCTGCAGGGATCCTCCCCCTCCTATCCTCCAGCGCTGACTGGCAGAACGGACGGGGCGGGTACAGCTGGCTGTGCCTCTAGATAGGCAGAGTCAGCTGTCACTCACGAAGCTGGGTGGATCTCGATGGTAATGTTGGGATCCGTCCCGTTTGCCGCGGTCTCAACAGTATGCGTTAAAATCAGAGGTTTTAGTTGCACAAACTTTCAGGAGGAGTTGGCTACCTCCAGGTACACCTGCATGTAATTTATCAACTTCATTAATATGCTCACACTTGGAGACTCGGATACATAGAGTTAGGACCACACTTTGCAGAGGTGCCTTGGTGCGGCAGTGTGGCTTCTACATATTTTTGGCCAAAAGTTTGTGCAACTAAAACCTCTGATTTCCCATGATCTCATGGGTGACCAAGGGGCAGTAAAAACAGGCACTTCATCTGCGGTTTTTCCATCCCTCAGTCACCCATGAGATTATGACTTCATCTGGCTCTCCTCTCTACCTTGTGTACCTCCATAGCATCGGACTCCCTGTGCTCAGTTGGCAGAGAGAAAGCCACTGCTCCTCAGCTGGAAGAGACCAGTTATCACTGCATGAAGCATCCCCAGTGGCTCTCCAGATTTTAGATACGTTGAGCCAAGCTGGTCCATAAAGGATTATGCCTGGACTTCAGCTTTAAACCCTGATTCAGGATGTGCTCTTTTATTTACTAGTCATTGCACAATGGAAATGTGTTTCCAATAATGCATCTATCTGTATATCAGGCTTTAATGCTGATCTATTATGTGACGCACTTGAGTGTATGTTGTTTATAAGGATCAGACTCTACGTCTTGCTTCACTTTTTGCATCGTGCTCCTGAAGAGTTTTGCTAGTTCACCTCCAGGGCCAGATTTATTCTTTTCTTTAATTAACCATGCAAATGTTCAGCTATGGAGGGAAAATGTATTCACCTAATTAAATAATGTTATGTAGTATATCATTGTGTCCCATTAGAGAGCTTTCCATTGCCTAATGCTCTGTATGTGAACGTTGCTCCTCTAACCTATTAAGCACATTCCTACCATAATACCAGCTTCTTCCTTAGTGAAACTGACCTTTATAAACCGGTATAATGCATCCCAGTCACAGGGTCAGTTTTCTCTTTAGCTGGAATGACCTTTTAACCATTAGGCATGTCCCTGTCATAAGGTCATTTTTCTCCTCCATGTCCCAGCAGAGAACAATGTGGTGGCCCTCTCCCTGCCCCAGCTCTGCTCAGCAGCTGTGCTCTCATGTGCTGGTTGTCTGACCGCATCTAATGTGGCAGTAATAGGGATGCACCGATACCATTTTTTCCAGACCGAGTACAAACACCGATACTTTTCCTCAAGTACTCAACAATACCAATTACAATACTTTTTTTTTGTTTTTGTGTCATGTGACAGTTTTTCTAAAACAATACAGACTAATAATTTTAAGAGCCTGGAGTGCCAGATGTGACCGCTGGACATTTGTAGTTCTGCCGTTGACTTCAAGCTGTAGAGGGACTACAAATCTTAGCAATACATTATATAGCAATGCAGCATGGAACCGGCTATAGAGGACTACAGATCTTAGCAATACTTTATACAGTAATGCAGAATGGCACCGGACTATAGAGGACTACAAATCCCAGCAATACATTATACAGCAATGCAGAATAGCAGCATATGAATTTGCTATATACTCTGTACTGCTGCTCTGCTTCGGCTTGTCGGCCTGATGTCTCGGGCGGAGGTCCTCAGGAGGGGGGGAGATGTGCGGGCGGCAGAAGCGCTGTAAACAGGCGCCACGTGGTTCCCAAGAAGGCTGCTGTAAGGTCCCCAGCAAGCGCAGGACCTAAGGCAGCCACTTCAATGAAAAAATTAAAGCACCAGCATCGGTTTTTGTTATCGAAAAATGCCCAGTATCAGCACCAATAAAGGTATTGGTGCATCCCTATGGAAAATGCATAAAATATGACTGTTTGTTAAGCTGGCCATACACTAGTATATATTTGTTCAAAAATTTATATGAAAACTCTCATCAGAACATTTGATAATGCCATCAAAGACTTGACGAATGATGTCGCTGGCAAGCGATGGTATGTCCTTCGACGTCCTCACATCCTATACACTGTGTATAAAACATGACGACTCAGGGACCTTGGACCACTGCGTCGGCGAGGGAGAGAGACTCCAGGGACCAGTCTACGAGCAAGCCAGCTGGGAGGATCAGGTGAATATAACATTTATGACCCTAGGCAAAAATTGAGCATTTAACCCTTGCAGTGCGGGGTAGCCCCACTTCAAGAGTTAATGCATTTTTGACCCTGAGTTCTGCTTTAAGGCTCAACGGCAGCTTGTGTAGAGGTAGAACCTATCTTAGGGAAGTCGCCTAGAGATGCAGAAAGATAAAACAAGAGAAGTGGTTAGATGACGAGGGGTGCTAAAAATTGACCTGAATTTTTGTAACCAATCAGACTCCAGTCATCATTCGTTAGATCAAATAAGCGATGAAGTCTGTTCTGTTGCTGTGGCTTCCATACTCATCACATATTCCTTTTTAATGCACGCTGCATTATTTAATACGGCCAGTACTATCTCTTTTTAGTTCCATTTATCTAAAATCAAGCCTCTTCACAATAATTCCCGAGTAATAGACTTCTACAAAGCAGCTCTCTTTTATCACGGAGTTTTTTAGAGCATGACAAGGCTTTTGCTGACAAACACCACCCACCAGCTGACTGATCTCTATCTGCCTATTGAGACTCCTCAGTACAGGTTGTTCTGGCGAGCGATTTAAAGTGCTATTGATGCAGCCTTTTCTAGAACAATGAGGACAGACAGAGACTTTCAGGTACTGCTTCCTGGGAAAATATGCAGATACTTCTCTCCAGTGCAGCGTCAGCAGGCAGCTTAGTAGTTGGTAATCTAGATTTGTTGGCTATTTAAGAAAAGCCACAGATAACATGCATAGCCGATAAACACTCATCTTTTTCGTTCCACAGAATTTCTTATCTTCCATTTTTCAGTTTATCTCATTCGCCACATACAGTTTTTCTTTCACTGGTATCAGTCGTCATAAGCAGACTTGCGTAAATGTGGGTCACGGTGCGATATAGGCCAATGGTATTCTGCTTCTAAATCAAGGGAGACATTGTATAATAAATAATTAAAAGTGTTGACGCGTTGTCATCTGTACTTCATGGTAAGCCATATTTGTTGAGGAAGATCATCAGTCACGCATATTCACACAAGCAATGTGTGTGGGACTGCCATAGATACCCTCCTGTTGCACTACAAAATTATATGCCAAGGCAATATAAAGACAAAACTTGTGCAGTACATCTCTGCAGTACATGCACATGTCCTCATGTGTTTTCCATTTAAATAACATGCAAGTACAGAAACATACCTGTTGATCCTGCCAGAAATGCAGCCAGAAATGCAGCTTCTTAGTCCTGTTGTGGGCTGACAACAATCACCATGGGACTAAACGGTGTCAGCCCTGCTCATTTTCTTTTACTAAACTGCTCAATCACTCCTAACTCTCATATCTACACAACACAAATGCTAATCATTCTGTAGTCCAAGATAAGAACTAGGAGGGTTCTTTGAGTGCATGGTTCACATGACAACTCTGAATTTCTGACAAGATCAACAGGTTATTTTGCACTTCTCAAACAAATATAACAAACACTTTCAATGGTATATTTAACAGACCAAAGGGGAGCAAATAAGAGACGTTCCTTGTGTTTTGATACATTCAATAAAGCAATTGGCTGTTACTGTGTCGGTTGAAAAGGACTCTGTCAAACTGTACCCTTTACCTTTGTGATCTGAAAGCTGTCATGGGGATGGATTGATGCCTTCACTGATCCCATTGCTTTTTCATACTATACAGTCCACAACAAAATGTCTCCAGTCCACAAATATAAAGCTGAACGGCTTAGTTCTTGACTTTTGACAGAAAGTCAGATTTTGCTTATCAATGGGTGCTGTCCAGTGAGCTTAGGCTACCTATTTTGGGGAAAGGAGGAGTGGTTGAATCTGTCTCGAAAATCCAACCTAAAGGCAACTCCAGATGGGTATTTTTTTTAATTCGTAGACCAAAATCTTTAAGAATAAAAAAGCAGCTCTGGCTGCAGTACTCCTCTCTTCTCTAGTGCTGTCATTGTGTGACCCACTCTCTCCAGCATTCATAACTTGCCCAGGCAAGAGGCAGACCCAGCTGTGCCCGCCCCCTCCCCATCCGTCCCTCAAGCCAGCACTGGAAGAACAGAGAGGGGAGGGGGAATCCCTGCGAGGAGAGGTGACTGGAAGTCACTGCTCTCTGCAGGGAGAAGATCAGAAACTGAGCAATCAGCGGTATGCGATTGCCTCGGTTTTCGATCTATGGAGCTGACGTAGGCTCTAATTTAGGGGATCAGGGTATTTCACTCTCTACATAGCTCTCCTTTAACCCTTGCAGTGCAGGGGTAGCCCACTACAAGGGTTGAGAAATTTACCCTGGAGTTTTTCCTTTGATGCTTAACTCATTGTTGTTGAAAATGCAAAATAATACTGAACACTCAGCACAGAATGCAACTACATCGCCTTTTACAGTACAGCTTCTCCCTCATTTCAGGAAAAAGTTTAATGGACAATACAACCAGATAATATTTCAGTTAAAGATGCGTGCTTGAAGCTTGTTATCTGTCGTGGGGACTTCAGAGGCTAGATCTAGTCACCAAAGTCTCTGGAATTTAGCAACTCAAAATCAAGTCTTCCGTTTTCCTGCATTCCTTATCATGTAAAACAAACATCCAACAGGGAAATCAGGACTCGTGACTGCCCCTGGTAGACAGATAGTAAGCACTCGCATACAAAGATCAAGAAGGCCGTAGGTAATTTTTCCTGCCTATAGCTACCAAAAACTGAAATAAAACCTTTAGAGGGGTTCACTGTCTGTGTACTTAGATAGATGTTACAATACAACTCACTACAAAGTCATTTCTGATGTGACTCTTGCTCGATAACAGTGATGCGTTTCATGTTTTCATAACATTTTATATGGATTGTTCCTCTAGTGGCTTTCTGTATATCAGTTAAAAAATTCAGCATCCTTGTGGAACAGCGGATGCAGTTATGGGATGAACCAGCTACAGAGTGCATTACTTCCAGTCAGGCTGAGCAGATGAAGAGTAGCAGTTAGGGAGAGGAGAAATAGAATGCAATCACTGTTCAGCATCATGAAGAAGAAAATACAGAATAACCTTTTACAGAGGTACAATACACTTACAAGCTATGCATACGTATTGTACCTCATCAGCCTTTTCAGCCTATAGATGTTGCAGAAGAATGTCTCGGGCATGGAAATACCTATTGTGGTTGTAAAGTCGTTAAAAGTTCTGACATAACGTCCCTGAAAGACTCCAAGCTGTTCGAGGCATGAGCTGTCAGATGGGTTGGGCTGTGTTCTCATTCTGCAAAAGTGTCTATTTATAGCAGATAACATCCAGTTCCGATAATCTCATGCGATAACTGGTGATATTAACTGACTCTTCTGCTTATGCATGCCACTGTGGCATTCTTCAGTCATTGATCAGCTGTTTGTTCTAGGCATGCCTCAACTGAAACATATTCTCTCTCTTTAGCTGTACGGAATGACCGCAACAAGAAAAAGAAGGAACCCCCAAAGCCTGAGGTCACCGAGAGCTATGTGCTGAGTCCAGAGACTGAAAATCTAATTGAAAGAGTGCGGAAAGCTCACCAGGAAACCTTCCCTTCACTCTGCCAGCTAGGGAAATACACTACAGTAAGTTCTCGTCCCATGGCCTTCTATGGTTTCTTACAAACCTTCCTTATTGCAGGAGATTTCCTCTGCATGATTCACAAATCCTTGTTTTGTTCTGGGGCGTGCGTATTAATGTAAAGAGCTCTTCTGCCCACCCTAAACAGTAGCACAAAATATATTGGATCGAAGAAAATCCTGTTCTGGGATCCCATTCTGGATCATCACATGTCCAAATGCCTTGGCATTTGATCACATGATTTTTGCTGCAGTGGAACATCAGAGTTCAGATAAATAGATACTCCTTCAGCAGAGTTCACCTCTCCACCTGCCATGGGATGATGGAGCTTTGGCTTCTCCAGTTATTTTGTGTCTTCTGCTAGTATTTAGAATAGGGGTAGCCAAACTCCGGCCCTCCAGCTGTGGTGAAACTAGAAATCCCATGATGCATATCTGTCCGGGAGTCATGTCTGTGGCTGTGAGAATCTTGCAATGCCTCATGGGATTTGAAGTTCCACCATAACTGGAGGACCGGAGTTTGGCTACCCCTGGTTTGGAAGGATAGAGGATCATATTCTAATGACTGGTGTTCTTTATAATTCAGTCTTTCCATACCTTGTATTTTCCTTGACCACACCTTAGTAGGCCAAATTGCTGGCTTTCTTTTTATATTTCTTCAAGGCTTCTACTGTAACACTGTGGCTTCCAAAGAGCTTAGCTCTGCTATCCTTTCTAGAAAAGCATTTCTTGGTCATGCCCAGATTCAGCAGAGATTGGCTGAGTGTGGCCAACCAAACCATGAAGTTGTTCTTTTAGCCACACTGGTGTGAACTATTGAGTCATGCAGGAAACTTGAACGCAGGGTGTGGGTGGGGGGATCATGTTCAGTATTCTGTGTTCAGTTTATATCCATGTGAGGATAAAAGCTGTTTGCAATTTGAAATGAACTTTCTTGTTGACTAGATTATTACTCATCAGGAGCTGATAGGATTAGTAGATAGACATGAGACTGCTTAGGTCTAACCTTGCCTAACCCTAGATATACGCACTAAGATCTGGTGCTATGGTTACTGTCATTGCAATGCAGCCAGATGAAATTATCTAAATAGTGCCAGAAAAAGACTGGATATGGTAACAAAAAAATTCAGAAGGAAGTAAAAATGTGAAGGCATAATGACCATGGACTGGAGGTATAGAAAGGAGTGGAATGTGATCATCAGGAGATGGAGGAGAATGAGTGTGATCTGGTCATACGAGATTGGTAAAATGTGTAAGCAAGGTTTGGGGGGGCGCAAAGAGATGGATGTGGTTGGATGGGTAGGAGTAGAGCGAGAGTGGTAGGGGACAGTGCAGCAGAGAGAGAAGATGCAGAGAAGGGAGATGATTGTGTCTTGGAGAAAAGTGTGTGAACAGCAAATGCTCTATCCTAGGCCAGATCATTCCCTTCCTCCTAATGTGTGGAGTCATGATACAGATGTTTGCACCAGAAAACACAGGCTTTTGACAAGGGGTGGACTTAGTGGAAGCGGCAGGACTTAGCATATGCAAGACGCAGGCATTTTTATGACATTTAAAATCTGTTTGGGAGCCCTTCTCCTCTATGGTAGTCCAAGAACAGTGTTCATAGACAACATACTGCAGACAGGTTAGCATTGTTAAGAATGGAAGGCACAGAAAAGAACAAAGAACGAGGAGCACAAAATAGGTCTCAGAGTTGAGGTAACATACAAAGCACCAGGGGTTTGAAGAGTGTGTAGTGGTGACTGCATCATTTGGAATTATGAAGATACAGGTGTAGTGCAATGTGAACGGGCACAGGCATAATTGGGGTGCAGGGCAGATAGTAGGATGGGGAAGACCTTGAAGTAAAAGAGGAAGGCACCGGGCAAAAAGGATGTTTCAATCCCATTTGATATAGATAAATCCTACCTATCCTGTTATGTTTTTGTTTTTCTAGAATTTCAGTTCGGAGGAGCGAGTTTCGCTGGACATCGACCTTTGGGACAAGTTCAGTGAACTCTCCACCAAATGTATCATCAAAACAGTGGAGTTTGCCAAACAGTTGCCGGGATTCACCACTCTCACCATCGCAGATCAAATCACCCTCCTTAAAGCCGCCTGCCTGGACATCCTGGTGAGTCCAGATTTTCATACCCCACATACAAATGCAACTTTTTTTATTTTATTTCAGGCTGTCAGGATATAAAAATGGTTATACTGGTTTTAAAGCTGATCATATAAAGAGTGCCTGATTGTGTGTATCTGGATAATCGGATGCATCCAGCTGTAATTTGTAAGACGCATTGGTTACCCGACTCGTGGGATATGTCCAGCCATGTGCTCATTAGTTACAGTATGTTTCAAAGAAAACTTTAAAGTAGACTGTACATTGTCTTATAGCCATGTGGAAGTGTCTGCACACAGAGGAACTTGTGTCTTCCTCTCTAATTTTACTGCACAATATGTGTGATTTTATTTAAACAAGCGCTTGCCTTTGCACAGCATATCAGCTGGCGGAGGAAGCCTGCACTCCTTGTAGTGAAAAAACAAATGGTCATCTCCAGGCAGGAGCGGCCAGCAGATATGTTTCTGTCTGCCATAGTGCTGTTCGTACTCTTTGATCTTCGGCCCCTTAAGGGCATGATAAGCAGACGTCAATGGTGTTGACAACCGGCAGCTGCAGAGTGATTCACATGCTTTCCTTCTAAATGTCTTATTCTGTAGCTCAGTGCAGTGTGTGGACAACAGGGAAGGAGGGGCTGTTTGAACGATGGTTATCATTATATCATAGCTGTAGTGAAAGCACCTCTTTATTTATTACCATGTAACTTCCATTCATGAGTTTTCTGTTTACATTGCAGTAAACAAATTGTTTCTTTTTCTTCATTGGGTCTGTATTCTTCTTCTGTTCTCATCAATTAGGGTTGTCGGATTGGCTTTGAGCTCTCTTACAGAGATAGCAGTGGACCCTGCCGGTCCTTTGCATGTCTCCCCCTACTTAGATTCCCGGTAGATCCCTTGTCAAGCATTTAATGGTTAGAAGCCAACTCTTATGTCTGTGGATCCACTGCAGCTTTTGAACACACTTCCTGAACAACCAATCCTCTTAAGCAATGGACTTTTCTTGATGATTTTTGTTGTTTTCACCAGATAAAGTTAATTGTAGACGTGGGTACCCAGCTCTAGTGTACATTCACCTGAAATGATTCTAAAAGTTTAAGTTTATCAAGCGATCTTTTGCTGCTCAGATCTTCTTGCCACCATCTGATATCTGTGGCTAGCCTAAATCTTGCCATACACTGAGGAACTTTATTGCTATTACACAGGAGCTTACGGACCGGCAGTCTAATTACAAGTGATCTCGGCGACATCCCCGAGAGTACTCGTAAAGAAACAGGTGATTTCTCCTATTCTACATTTAGCTCTGCTTGTGCAAAGCAGAGCTAAATGTAGAAAACAAATTACCGCCCGGTGCCCGAAACTCCATGTTCCGGGCGTCGGGTGTGCTACCCCTCTGCTCAGTGCCGCCCCGAGGCCGGGCCTCGGTGGCCTTGCCGGGAATCCGGCCCCTGCATACATTTTCCCTCAGCCTCACAACAGCTGGTTAACTCTCTCACACAACGAATGTACCTGCAGTTCGCTGGACGAATAAGCTATGCAATTGTGTTCATAAATAGCCCTCTTAGTGTCATCTGTTGTTGCCTTTTATGTGCATTTTGTGCACCGTATTCCAGTCTATTTGCACATGTAAAGCTGTAACACGTTTTTATTTTAATTGGGGTTTTTTTTTTGCACTTCTCTTTAGAAACTTCTTATTGTCTTCTGCTAAATACCCGTTTCTCGTTTTGCCACAGATCCTACGAATTTGCATACGGTATACCCCTGACCAGGACACCATGACTTTCTCAGATGGTCTCACACTTAATAGGACGCAGATGCACAACGCTGGGTTTGGGCCCCTCACGGATCTAGTCTTTGCCTTCGCCAATCAGCTGCTACCGCTAGAAATGGACGACGCAGAGACTGGTCTCCTGAGCGCCATTTGCCTCATCTCTGGAGGTAAGGATATAGCATCTTCTGATGTTTTGTGGCAGTGATTCTGATTCGTAACAAAGGTGGTCATTAAATAGGGTGAAGGTCTTTCCTATAGCTTGACATTTTTTGACGTGCTAAAGGAGAACTATGGGGTTAAGGCTTTTCCCCATAGTTCTCCTTAGGGTAACGGGAGGACACAAACTAGCGTCCTCCCGTCACCCTAAGCTCAGTATACCGCGAGCTGTAGCTCGCGTTATACTGAGACGCTGCAGTATACCGCGAGCTGCTACTCGGAGGGGAAAGGGAGAGAGATTGTTGGGGAACACATCCCATGGTTGGTTCCCAGTGGGTGGAAGAGAGCTACAAAGAAGTGAATCTCTCCGGTGGAAAGAGAGGCATGGGCATACCAGACCCATGGGGTTCACATGTGAGAAACTTCTGGTGTGTTTCAAAAAGAATACCAGGACATTTTTCAAAATAAAAAAATAGTCTATACGGTACCTGCCCTCTATATGCAAGTTTGGAAACATTTATTTTTAAAGACATTGGTGGTGCTCACCAATCATGTCAATGGGCCCTCTTGATATTACATAGTCTTGAGTACTTGAAGAAAATGGACAGGCGAGGACGGACTCGACTCACAGTGACTATATCGGTGTGATCTAGACTATTTGGTATTTCAACCCCAAAGCTTTTGCTCCCGATAGCCATCGTTAGATTAAGTGCAAAGGGCAAAAGTAAAAACATTTCCACAGTTCTTCCCGTAATTAATTTTAGGTAATTATTGTAGGTTTACAAAGCAAGCATTGTCTGCCGTGTCCTTTAATTGCATAATGTCCCTTTATGTTCCATGCGGTCAGCAGCTGCTGAGTTATTCCTGCCTGTCTGGGGCACAACGACCCTATTAACAAGGATGCTGCCTTAAAAATTGTAAAATTTGACAAATTGATGAATGTTTTAGAAAGGTTTTTATTTTGTGCTGTAATTGGGTTTTGCCCTTTAGAATTAATCTTATGACGTCGCTCTGTTTCACGGATTGAAAGATTATTGAAAAGGGTCTACCCAGAAAAAAGAATAAAAGATACTCCTATGCCTAAAGCTAAACTCCGGGCACAAAAATTTTCATTCAGATCTATTCCTTAATAGACAAGGAGGATATAAATCCACTTTGTGTGTATTAAAAGGCCTTTGTAAACTCAGATATTGTTAAAGTAGCGGTAACGTCATCACTGCACTGCACTTGTACATAGCCAGTACAGAAGGTAGAGCTGTGGGAGGGGCCCATCAGGCTGCATCCACTACAGGCTGGCAGCATAAAACTACAGGAGGGGGCGGAGACAGGACCAGTCACCCTGCACAAGGAGAGAGGGCAACAGTGACTGGTCTATATTACAGAAAGCTCCTGCACCGAGGCCAGGAATTGTTAAGCTGGAATGCTGCACATATCTGAAAGAAATACACAAAGAACACCAAGATTTAGGTAATACTACTCCTTCTGGTTACCCGAACGTATACTTGCTCTAGTTTGAGAACTAATTACAAGTAGGTGCCTCCAGGGACGTCCTCATAATGAGGCAGCCTGAGGAGGTAGCCTCAAGCGGCATCTTATTGAGGGGGCGGCTGGTGTTTGGCGGCAACATGGGCAACTAACAGCATCCAGTCCCCCCATCCCTTCCCCTGTTGACAGCCCGCTGCCCTCCTCCCCGCTGACAGCTCTGTCCACTTCTCCTGGCCACCACTACAAAAAAAAAGTTTCCTAATGCTGCCCATGCACTTCATATATTTTGTGTCAGTTCTGGAAGCTGTTGATGAAAAGCACAGTTAAATGGAACAAAATATTGCTTAAGGTTGCTTATTAACATTACAACCGCGAACTAGGTATGGGCGCCCATGTGCGTCCCACCTTTGAGACCCCCTCATCAAATTGACAGCTCAGTGATAAAGTTATAGTTATAGACTGCAATATGTGGTCTGGGTGTCTAACCTTAATGGTACCTGGTCTTTAAAGGGTTAATTTTTAATTTAAAAAAAACAAACAACATTTTGGCATAGAACTTGAAACAAAAACCTTGCAGTGTATTCTAATACTTTACTACTCCATGAATTGTCAGTGCCAAATGAACCTCCAGCGCCACATGGTGGTCAGCCCTACATGAGAAATAAAAAAAATTGTGCATGTCATGTGATGTACATCCATTATCAGCTACAGTGGGATTGAGAATCTAGGAGTGTAAGAGCATATTATAACGGTACAGAGTATCTCCCACCAGATCGGCAGGACCTGGAACAGCCAGACAAGGTGGACAAGTTACAGGAGCCTCTACTGGAAGCGCTTAAGATCTACGTCAGGAGGAGACGACCCAAAAAACCGCACATGTTCCCCAAAATGCTGATGAAGATCACAGACTTGCGGAGCATCAGTGCCAAGGGTAAGCCCTTTATTTTAAATATGGGGTATACTGTGTACAAATGCCTTTCCAGTTCTTGCTAGGGGTTTCTCTATCAGCATAACTAAAACTCCATATTTAACCTTAAAGTAAACCTAACCAGACTTAAAAGGCTCCTCAGTTAACAAAAGTTCTTCCATGTAGAAACCTGGGTGTCTCTCAATAAAGGAGGGTCCACCCTAGATGTGTTCGGGCCAGAGCCATCCCTATAATTATGTATTCTGAGATGGTTGCCTCAGGCGGAATCTCATTCGGGAACGGCCGGGTGGTGAAGGGGTGGGAGAGGGGTGGCCACAGCATCCCAGATTGCTAATTGTTCTGAGCAACTTGTAATGCTCTGTACTGTGTGGCTTCCCACCCAGCTCTCTGACGTTTCCAGGAGCTGAGGGGGACACTCTGGCTTGCATCCCGCCTTGCTACTGGGAACTAGTGACATCAGTAAGCTGGGAGGGATGTCCAACAGAGCCAGTGACAGAGTGGTCCGGGGTCCGCCACTGCCCTTGATCAATCAAATGACAACTCAGCCATGCATGCGACTTTCCCCCTCAGTGACCATTCCCTGACAGCAACCCCCCCATCACCCGCTACCCCCCACCCCCAGAACGGCATCACCTCATGCGGCTATGAACCTAGGGACTGCCCTATTTTGGTAGCCTTTTCCAGGGCAGTCCCAATGCATGCACAGACAACACAAATTGCCCTGGTTGGAATCTGCCCAGTTCACACCACCAAGCTGAAAAAAAATGATTGCATACATCACAGTGTGGTGCGATGTGGTACAACCGCATTGCATCACACTGCGCTGTGCCAATGGAGCTTAATAAAATGTCACCGGGATTGGTGTATCGGCACTGTTTCCTGTCAGCCCACACACGCACCCGAGCGTTCAATGCGGCTTTCTGGTGTGAATGGCCCCTAAATCAATTCCTGTTGAGCCCCTTTGGCTTTACCCTGTCCTGACTCCTGCCCCTGTCATTTGCCATTCAACTGTCAAATGCCAGAGCCTGGGAGGGCAGTAGAGGCTCCGGATTGCATCTCCCTTAAAAATAGTTAAACAATGATTCAGAGAAAACCTATTAAAAACATGACAATAACAAAAATAATCTCCCTCTGGGCGCCAATAGCCTGATGAATTCTGGCTCTTTCCTGGTCTTAGCTGCAGCTTTGGGCAGAATTGATGTAAGACATGGTCATTGATTGGCTGCCTCTACCTTATACAGATCCTGAACAACACATTTAAAGAGGTGCTGGGAATATTTAAAATGGTACATGCAGTGAGATGAGGGAAAAACTTAAAACAAGCTCACTAGCCCTGAGGCGGCTCCCACACAGCAAGGCTTTTCTCAATGGATTCCTTACAACCGCTCAAACCGTAGAATTACAGAAAGGAACTCCAGACCAAAAGAGTCCAATATTTTAATTGTTTGCGAATAGGTCAAAACTACTTCCCCTTCATCAGGGTAAACGTGGATGGACTCCGAGAAAATCGTAACCGCACAAATCTCATATTTAATGTCTCCATGAGTTTTTCCAGGTTGTTGAGCTCTTATAAGGGGGAATGGTCTTGCCCCCGAAACGCATTGGCTGTTTTGTGTGACCAACAATTCAAAATGATCCTGGACTCTTTCATTCCCTTTTGGTCCAGTGTTTTGTTGTGCAATCCTAAGGTTTGTTATACAGATCCTCACCTTTCCGGTAATCCTCAGAAATTGCAAAGTTAAGTCCTGAGCTCTGCATTCATTCTCCAGTGCAAAGCCATTTATACAATGGTCATAGAACCATCCAATCAAATCCCAGTGTACCCAGCCATAAATCTGCTGCACACCGGATGTAGCATCTAGCACAGTGCAGTACAGCATTTCAGTTCAGAGAGGAGTTCTAAGATTGAAGCATACAAGTAACTAGGGATGCACCGATGCGGGTTTTTCGGTATTGAGCACGAGTACCGATATTTATATTTCGGTACTCGCCGATATAGAGTACCGATACTTACGCTAGAATGGAGCCAGCTTCTCGGGCAATCAAGAAGCCGGACGGCGGTTAATAACAAGCCTCCCGGCTTCTTGATTGCCTGGGAAGCCAGCTGTTTGGCCGGCCCAGTGCTGATTGGCCGGGAAGCGGGCTTCCCGACCAAACAGCATGGAGTCGTCTTCCTGGCCAATCAGGAAGCCGGTAGGCAGATCATTACCCGCCGCCTGGCTTCCTGATTGGCCGGGAAGCGGGCTTCCCGACCAAACAGCATGGAGTCGTCTTCCTGGCCAATCAGGAAGCCGGTAGGCAGATCATTACCCGCCGCCTGGCTTCCTGATTGGCCGGGAAGTCGGCTCCATGTTCTCTCGCAGTTCTTTTTTTTCCCCCAGCCATATCTTTAAAATATGCTCTCTGATCCCGGAAATAAGACTGCAAATATTTGTGGTACATGCTTCATATTTAGGACAGATTTGTTTCCTCCATAGTTGTGGAAACATTCCCTTGTTGGGTTTCCGTTGTCCATAGCCTAAAATAATTCCTATGAGAATCCTTCTTGTGGTTTGGCCAAACAACTTAATTATTTTGAGTTTTGCTTTAATTGTCTCTAACCATACACAAGTTGATTTCAAATCCGTCTGCACAGCATTGAATTACAACTTTAAAAAAAATAGGAAGTTGCAGATGTTAACCATCTCCTTTTAGCGTTTTTGTTTAAAAGATCGGTATAGAGGGAATACAGAATAGTGAGTTTAGCCGTAACTCTTATGTTTTTAATATTTTGTATACACTGTGTACAAAGGTTTTTCTGGTTTTAAGTATGTCACCTTACTGAAACTCCATACTTAGCCTTTTACTACCGGTATCTCCTAAAGTTAACCTGAGCAGACTTAAAAGGCTCCACTGTTAACAAACTTGTTGGCATTCAGATACCTTGTGTGTTTCTCTTTAAATCAATCCCTGCCCCTTGTCATTCAACAATCATATTCTGTGGAGCCCATTGGCATTACCTTTTCCTGGCTGCAAGCCCTGCCCCTTGTTCTTTAACTTTCAAATGCCTGAGCTTCAGCTGACCCAAAACTCCTATTTCACTCTTTTGAGAAGTGATGAGAGAGTGATTTTTCTGTTGGCAAGAACTCTGCACCCGAGTTTAGGGATCTTCACTCCTGTTATTCCCATTACAGGGGATCCCAAACAGTTAAATGTGGGCAGGTACACCCAAAAGTCTCACATAGACAGGAGCAGAGTCAGGATTAAGCAGACCTCAATGTTTGAATATGCAACAAATATAACTAAAATGTCAATTTGGAAAGGACTAGTCCTTTAATCTAACCGCATCTCATGCTTAGTGTAGCATATTTGGGCCTATTTTATACATTACAGTAAGGCCCCGATTCAAGAAAGGATTGGATGTATGGGGAAATGTCAAACTCTTAGGTTATAAGACGTGACATTAGAGTCTACTGCATACGAAGATGTTTTTGCACATTGATTACTGAACCATTGAACAATCTTTTGAAGAGGGTAGTGAAATGTATTTGTTTTCAAGTGATTGCTTTAAAGGTCTGGTAAAACCTTTATGCTGTGTGGGGGCATTGAGAGGGTAGAGATCTTGCATTGGTATACTAAGCTAAGAAAATTGTTGAATGGTAATGTATGTGACCATCTTTATACAGTTTCTGTAGACTTCTCACAAGTTATAAACTGGACAGTGGATATGAAATTATTGGCTGACCCGAGTCTGTTGTGTTCACTCTGCAGGCGCTGAACGTGTGATTACTCTGAAGATGGAGATCCCTGGATCCATGCCTCCTCTCATCCAGGAGATGCTGGAGAATTCCGAGGGCCTGGACACCTTAGCAGCTGGATCTCCTAAACTACTGCCTCCTACCCCTGTCCCCACAGGAAGCTGTAGCCCAAGTCTGTCCCCCAGCTCCACCCACAGCAGTCCCTCTACACACTCGCCCTGACCTTCCAGCAGGCTGTGGGAATAAGGCAATGGAGACTCACCAGCGCACTCACTTCATCCCTCCCTCACTTCCCACCAAGTTCCTCTGGGCTCATAATGGATGATTCTGTCCTCCCTTGCTTTACCTTTTATTCTGCACTCGACCTCAACAGCAAAGCATCACTGTGCTGTAACCTGGTCTGGACTAGTCTCTGCAAGAGTCGGGATAAGCCAGAGTGGAGATAGCTGCATATCACATGGACAAGTATCTGCCTCTCCCCTTCTCTTCTTACAATTCAACCTGTGCCTCTGGACTTCTCACACCCACTGGATTGAGAATAGACTCAAAGCAAAGCCTAAGACTGAGCAAACTCTCGCACTGTGCCGTGTGATTGTGGAGGGAGGGTGGAGGCGCCAAAGGACTGCGCTCCAACCAGAGAGCTGTGACCATTGTTCGTCAAACCACTTCACGTTGGGAGGGGGGAGGGGGGATTGTACTGGGTCATGTACTCCATGCACTGCCATTGCTTGCACCCCAAAAAGCACTCTGTTCTTAATACAGCTGATTAAGCAGTGTTTTTTTCACATACATAGGAATAGCAACTTGGGGTAATGTAACTGGAAGGGAAATTGCAAAATGTAGGTTCTTACATAAATTGGTGCAAAAGAATATATATTTTTTTAGGGGATTCTCCCAATTTTAACCCACCTTTTTCAAAAATATTTTAAAGTGCTATTGTGTAAAGTTAGAAAATGAAATGTTGCTGCTTGCGTAGACTGGTAGCTGGAAGGGAGGCAGCAATGTTTCTAAAACAATATTGTCTTCTGATTAAAATTGTGTTTTTATTGGGCCAGGACACTAGAATAGGGTTCCCAAAATGATTTGGCTTTTGAGTGGCCCCTCGACCTATTTTACTCTCACAACTGTCCTAAAACCCAAATTGATATTAAAACCCGTGTTAAGCTGCACATACACTTCATAATTTTTTGAACAGAGGTTACACAAACTTTAAACAGCGTGGAAGGGGGAATCCCCCCACCAGGCTATATAGAATACCTGAGCAGTGATTGGCTCAATGATTGGCTGGAGTGTTCTGCCAACAATTTCCAACCTGGCTGCTTCAACAAAAGGCGATTTTAAAAAAATCGACTTTTGTCAATAGGATTTGTTCCGACAGGGCCACACACTGCTCAAATCTCAGCTGAGTCACCAGGACTCGTCCAAAATTCAAGCAGTGTATGGCCAGGCTTATACTTGCCTATCAGTAGCTCCAGCTTACCATCATCTACCAACCCAAGAACACAACTGCTGTAGTGGGTCACATGGTCACTGTCCAAGCCGTGTGATTGGGTTAGTAGGTGGGGAAGGGGTAGGCGTAAAAATGGAAAATCTCTTTATAAGACTTTGGGTCCACATTTAATAACCTTTCAGTTCCGTTTATTTCTCAGAGCTCTGGAAGTTCCTTACTCTAGCCACTCTCATTATGTTGTGATGATCCCTTTGGAGTCTTCATATCTCTTGTACTGTGGAATGCAACAGAAGTAGTAAGAGAGTGATAGAGGAATACATTAGTACAGGACCTCTTGCCATGCCCCCCCTTTACCCTACATTTATTGCTAATCCAAGTTAGGAAGTCTCTGCCTTCCTGCTGCATTTTCCATTATGTCACACCAGTAGAGTATCCAGCAACTATTGGAAGACGCCTGATACCAGCCATGATATGTGGAAGAGCTGGTAAAGCAGAGCATCAGATATGATATAAAAAGGGGATGGATCCGGCTAACCAGAACTCAAGCAGAAGCTTTGGGTTAAATGACCCTTTAAAGCAGGGGTAGACAAACGCCGGCCTTCCAGCTGTGGTGAAACGTCAAATCCCGTCATGCGTTGACCTCTTGAAGCCATGTCTGTGGCTGTCGGAGTCTTGCAATGCCTTATAAGACATCCAAAAGCTGGAGGGTCGAAGTTTGGCTACCCTTGTTTTAAAATGTATGCAAAGCCAAAACTTTTTTTGTTTGTTCTAGTTATGGATAGAGTGGGGAAGGGTTAAGACCCCTATCAGTTTGTTTTTTTGTCCTCTTGGGGAGATTTCACTTCACTTCACAACTGGACGTAAAGGGAGATATCTCCAAAGGGAAAGTACATTTCCTCTTAAGCTAGCCACATACTGCTCAAATTTCGGCAGCAGGACTCAGATGAAATTCAAGCAGTATGTGGCCCTATTCGCACCTTTGACAAAAGTTGATTGAAAATTGTACTTTTGTTGAAAGGAGCTGGACCGGTTGGCTGAACAATGACTGATCTGGGTAGGGGTAGGGTGGGGGAATGTGTTCTGAAGGAGAGAAAAATGCTCAATTTCTCCATCTGCTTTAAACCGCGTGGAAAAAGGGGAATCAATCGCTTTTTTTCTCCTCAAAAAAAGATAGGTAACCAGAGACCATGGTCACCAGGACTAACAATGAGGGTGAATCTCCCCAGTGGGGATCCAGGTGGCAACAAATCAGGCAGAGGGTCTAACCGTTCCACACACACCATTAAAAACGAAATCAAAGTTTGGACTTTATATACAGGTTAAAGTAGATCTGTCAGGAGAGAAATATGGGAGCTACAACTGCTGACCCGGTTCTGAAACTGCTAGTTGCTTGGCTGCTTTGGGTGACCCACTGACTTCAACAACTAAATACCAGAACAAGAAAAGGTCAGAGTTGGTGACCCGTAACAAATATGCAAATAAGGACTTGTGACACTTGTCTAAGTAAGGCAGAGGGTCCAAATGGCAGCCATTCACCTAGTATCAGATGGAATAGTCAACAGTGGCACTCTCCATCTTTATTTAAGACGGGTTTCCTTTAATATCATTTACGGATGAAAATGTAAAAAGATTTCCGGATTTTTTAGTCCCCAATGGCGACAAGCGTAGGTTCGTGAATGGCGCACTATAGTCAAGCATCTGTTATTCTTTTGTTACCTGTAGAGATGCGGCTACTTTTACATTTGTTAAAGTTCTATTTAGCTTTTTTTAAAATGAACTCCTGTTTTAGATCTGCAGGGTCGCTACACGCTTAGCTGCCAAAAGCTCCATGTTATGGCGGGGCCATCAACCAAAAGTGGGTGGGGTTAAGGATGTAGGTGTGGCTATGTTGGGGAGAGCCGCCCTTGTCCGGGAATCCTGGCGGTTGCATTAATTGCAGAGTGCTTTATGCTGGAGTGCCTTATGGACGTGTAAAAGTGTAGTTGGGTCAGTCCTGCACTGCTGACCACTTGGGACAACTGAACAGCAATGACCTGGCAAGCCCAAAGGGATCGGTCCATCGGCCGACGTATTGGGCTTTCAGCTATATTGTCATGATGTACCAGCTGCACCGTATCACTGGTCTCAACCCATTTCCTTTAACCACTAAACAGCTGCAATCTCCTTCATCCCTTCCCACCTCGTCTCCCCCCCACTGAAACTTGCTGTTTGTACACGTTATACACACCAGCAGAAAAAGAACTAAGAAGAAAAAAAAAAAAACAAGTTTTCATTTTGAGAGGGGGGGGGGGGGGGGGGGGGGGG